ACGATATATATAAATTTTCAGAAATGTTAGTAAATTAGCTTTTTTTTTACTGAACTTATGAAAGAGATTGTTGTGTTTTTTTCACCATCTAATCATGGCATTGGGATATTAAATCACAGACATTGTTTAAAATCTATAACTTGATGGTTTCATTTCAGAGACAAATAATCATGTTTTTTCCTAAACGAGATATATCCGCCTCACTCTCAGAGAAAAAAGTAGCACTGCAAAGTTTTACACAGTCAAATGTGACAAATAATTACATTTGTATTAAAGAACAGAAAAAAATTATACATTTGTGACATTGATATATACACTACAAGTCAAAAGTTTGGACACACCTACTCATTCAAGGGTTTTTCTTTATTTTTACTATTTTTTACATTGTAGAATAATAGTGAAGACATCAAAACTATGAAATAACACATATTGAATCATGTAGTAACCAAAAAATTGTTAAACACATCAAAATATATTTTATAGTTGAGATTCTTCAAATAGACACCCTTTGCCTTGATGACAGCTTTGCACACTCTTGGCATTCTCTCAACCAGCTTCATGAGGTAGTCACCTGGAATGCATTTCAATTAACAGGTGTGCCTTGTTAAAAGTCAGTTTGTGGAATTTCTTTCCTTCTTAATGCGTTTGAGCCAATCAGTTGTGTTGTGACAAGGTAGTATTGTAAAATAGATTGCTAAGTGGGAACCATAGAATTAGAATGATTAGAATTACAACCATTCTAGTGCTATGGTGGGAGTTGCTTTCAAATAGTGAATGGCTCACAGTGTATAATAGCTAGTATGAGAATATAGTATACAGAAGATAGCCCTATTTTTAGACATTTTTGCACATTTATTAAAAAAGTAAAACAGAAATACCTGATTTACATAAGTATTCAGACCCTTTGCTATGAGACTCGAAATTGAGCTCAGATGCATCCTGTTTCCATTGATCATCCTTGAGATGTTTCTAGAACTTGATTGGAGTCCACCTGTGGTAAATTCAATTGATTGGAAATGAGTTGGAAAGGCACAAACCTGTCTATATAAGGTCCCACAGTTGACAGTGCATGTCAGAGCAAAAACCAAGCCATGAGGTCGAAGGAATTGTCCGTAGAGCTCCGAGACAGGATTGTGTCGAGGTACAGATCTGGGGAAGGGTACCAAAACATTTCTGCAGCATCACAGGTCCTCAAGAACACAGTGGCCTCCATCATTCTTCAATGGAAGAAGTTTGGAAGCACCAAGACTCTTCTTAGAGCTGTCCGCCCGGCCAAACTGAGCAATCCAGGGAGAAGGGACTTGGTCAGGGAGGTGACCAAGAACCCGATGGTCACTCTGACAGAGCTCCAGAGTTCCTCTGTGGAGATGGGAGAACCTTCCAGAAGGACAACCATCACTGCAGCACTCCACCAATCAGGTCTTTATGGTAGAGTGGCCAGACGGAAGCCACTCCTCAGTAAAAAGCACATGACAGCCTGCTTGGAGTTTGCCAAAAGGCACCTAAAGGACTCTCAGACCATGAGAAACAAGATGCTCTGGTCTGATGAAACCAAGATTTAACTCTTTGGCCTGAATGCCAAGAGTCACATCTGGAGGAAACCTGGCACCATCCCTACGGTGAAGCATGGTGGTGGCAGCATCATGCTGTGGGGATGTTTTTCGGCAGCAGGGACTGGGTGACAAGTCAGGATCGAGGGAAAGATGAATGGAGCAAAATACAGAGAGATCCTTGATGAAAACCTGCTCCAGAGCGCTCAGGACCTCAGACTGCGGCGAAGGTTCACCTTCCAACAGGACCACGACCCTAAGCACACAACCAAGACAACACAGGACTGGCTTCAGGACAAGTCTCTGAATGTCCTTGAGTGGCCCAGCCAGAGCCCGGACTTGAACCTGGTTGAACATCTCTGGAGAGACCTGAAAATAGCTGTGCAGCGACGCTCCCCTTCCAACCTGACAGAGCTTGAGAGGATCTGCAGAGAAGAATGGGAGAAACTCCCCAAATACAGGTGTACTTACCAAAGTCATACCAAAGAAGACTCAAGGCTGTAATCGCTGCCAAAGGTACTGAGTACAGGGTCTGAATACTTATGTAAATGTCATATTTCTGTTTTTTATATTTAATAAATTTGAAAAAAAATCTATAAACCTGTTTTTGGTTTGTCATTATGGGGTATTGTACGTAGATAGGGGAAAAAACTATTGAATCCATTTTAGAATAAGGCTGTAACGTAACAAAAAGTGGAAAAAGTGAAGTGGTCTGAATACTTTCAGAATGGACTGTATATCAATATTTGTATATATATATATATATATATATATATATATATATATATATATATATATATATATATATATATATATATATCGATATTTGTATATATATATTTAAAAAAATTATCAATACAGTAATATTAGATCTGGGCTCTGGTCAAAAGTAGTGCACTATATAGGGAATAGGGGTGCCATTTCGGACGAGGCCTAACTCTAACCAAACACTACAGCATGAGGCTAGATTTATGATAGGTTGAATTCATACAGTATGTTAAATATACAGGATATGAACATTCCATTCAAGCTAAACAATGGATATAGGGCATTTTGCAACAAACCCCATTTTAATACATATCTAAAATCTATTAATAAAAAAATCTTAGAACAATAATATTTTACACACACATAGAGATAGCCATGAGCATTAATTTCTGATGAAAAAACACAACTGTGAAAAATTGGTGGTTATAGCGTTTTGGAAAGAAACTCAAATACTACTCTTATACCTAAGACAACCCTTTAGCTAAGAGCTGCAAATGTATTTCCGTATGTTCGCAAGGCATTGGCACATGTCCAATTTCATCTTCTGCTCACAACAACTCAAACTACTTTATTTCCATTCTGACATAAACAATGACAAGTAATAAAAAATATGCATTCTACATAGTATAGTATACATCATATTGATATAACCATCCTATTCACATACAGTACAATTAATTGCATACAACATATAAAATGAGATCTTGTGTTGCAAGGCTCACTGCATTTGCCAATGCATATATTTTTCAGATTGCATGCTGCTGGAATATAATGCATTCCTAATGCCAGGCCTAGACAGGTCGGATTTCAGTTCACTCCAAATTGCCCGTCATGTTATGCCCATGTCATTTCCAGACAAATATGACATTTTGGGACACATTTCTAAAGAGAATCCAGGTTATGCTATCTTTGCAGATGGTGCAGTTGGGCCACTCTTTGTGCGCCCCAAATGGCACCCTATTCCCTATGGGCCCTGGTCAAAAGTAGTGCATTATATCAGGAATATGGTGCCATTTGGGATGCAAGCCTCTGACTCCAGAGGACCTGAGGTTTAATCACTCTGCACGGCAGTGAACGTTATCCTTCCTGTCTGATTATTTGGGCTAGACAGCACTTGCCATTTCATTACCCCCCCCCCCCCCCCCCCCCCCCCCCCCCCCACACACACACACACACACACACAAAAGCTCTATTAGTACATCATATGCAATGTGTGATATCTGTATTTAGATGCATTTAGGCTGCAAATTCTGCCATTTTTATGCCAACGTAAAATGGTGGTCACTGGAGAGGCTGTGCAGGCTAACTAACAAAATCAACTATTGTTTTATCACCAAGACCTGAGTGGCCTTCATAGTCTCTCAAAGGCAGACACCATGTTTTTGTGTCTACATGTAACAGCTATGACAAAAGTACAGTAGGCCTACACACGTAGGCTATAGACTACTATCAAAGGAGTCTCCTTTGACATTACTATAGTTATAGTACTCACTGTACTGAATGTACTATTTCCATATTAACTATTAGGTCCATATTAACTATTAAATCCTCTCTCTGACCAGGATTGATGAGAAAGCAGACCTTTGCTCTGAGGGTCGGTCGGTCTAGACTGGGCCTGTATTAACATCTAATCCCTAAACTATCAGCCAGCCACACCAATGAACACAACATCCCAATGGTTGTGATCCCAAAACAAACTGCTCTCCGGATAATCAGTCCTTAGGCCTATTACAAAATGCTTTGAAAAGGGATGCTGTGCCCAGTATTGGATAACCCAGCGGATGGTTTGTGATATACAGTATTTAGGCCTCCGTGCATACATACAAACACTCTAGTAGGCCTAACTTGTCTTATTGTTGTGTTGTGCGTAAATAGTTGACACACTTATTACAAATGTCTTCAATCAGATTAGAGAAATAAGAAAGGGACATTTGGTTTGATTTTTGAGAACACAATTCTGTTAGATGGTGTTTTTATGGTAATATTGTTCTTATGGCTATGCATATAATGGGCCTTGCCCTATGTGTTGTATTAATAAATATCACACACTACAATAAGCATACCAGATTGGACAGGTAGCCTAAATGATGGAGACAACAGCACTATAGCACTAGTGAAAAAGAGCAATGCACAGCTGGTTTACCCACGGCACTTCAACAACTGATGATGATTTATCCAATGTGTCCATTAGCAGATATCAGTTACAGTAACTAACAGAAAGACAGGTGTTGCCAATTCATCGTGTAAATTCATAGTTTAAAATGGCCCTGGCCATAATATGCCTAAGCACCCACCAGCGATTTCCTCTCCATCTTTGAAAGGCTGCATGCTTTCTAATGCGCAGGCCAAGACTGTTACTTCCGACAGTTAGCTACAGCTACACGCTCTTTAAATAGGCCTACACAACAACTATCCTACACATTCATTATGAAAAGCATAAGATGACATATAAGCTCAATAATTTATAGATGCAATGCAATGTCCTGACATAAACTTGATAATAACGACAGTAATAACACACATATGACGTTTGCTCTTCATGAGAATTCCTATCAACCTGCTGCAAAAGCATCTATCGCTCTCCTATCTCTCCATTATGTATACCTTGTCCAACATTTTAAATAACATAACAAATCAATAGAAACAAAGCATTCTTACCGTGTAATTAACCTCCACAATGTATTAAGGCCTAAGGTTTTTAAAACCGTATCCATGGCCCTGGGCTTTTTCTCCGCTACTGCTCAGCATCAGCAGCCGACGTACAATGAGTGCGATGATGCTACGAGACCCCGCCCTCCTTCTCTTGCAGAGAAAATGAGCTCTCGTCACCGTCTTCAGTACCAGGAACTGCAGTCTCTGCGCCGCCATCCTGTGGGCTGCGGCTATACCCGAAGAGAAGGCTATTACTCTCAATTTCTTTCTTCTTTTCAGCTCTCTATCCCCCGTTCACGGAAACGGTGTCAACCGCTCACAGACAAAGGAATGATAAGCAGCTAGAGTCTCGTTCGTTGCAGTGGAGGCAGCCATCACAGTCGTTTTCAGGCGCTTGGCAAATAAACAATATAAATGTCTAGGCTAGGGTAGGCCTTAGATGGGGAGATTCCCTAAAAATACGCTACTTCGATACAGATACGACTTTTTCGTGGCAGTTTAGGAGAATTTACGCAGCAGGTTAGGATAATTAGGTTAAGGTTAGGAAACGGGTTAGGGTTAGCAAAAACGCTCTCCTAACCTAACCTGTTACAAATAGTCACTTTGAAGTGGCGTGTTTTTAAGGAGTACCTTAGCTGGGTTTCTCCACTACACCATATGTACACCTCGGTGGCGGAGTGTACCTCTGGCACATAGCTTAAGAGGACAAACATACAGTGCATTCGGAAAGCATTGAGACCCCTTGACCTTTTCTGCATTTTGTTACGTTACAGCCTTATTATAAAATGGATTAAATAGTTAGGTTTAAGTCCGGGCTCTGGCTGGGCCACTCAAGGACATTCAGAGACTTCATTCTGCCACCACCATGCTTCACCGTAGGGATTGTGCCAGGTTTCCTCCAGACGTGACGTTTGGCATTTAGGCCAAAGAGTTCAATCTTGGTTTCATCAGACCAGAGAATCTTGTTTCTCATGGTCTGAGAGTCTTTAGGTGCCTTTTGGCAAACTCCAAGCGGGCTGGCATCTGCCTTTTACTGAGGAGTGGCTTGCGTCTAGCCACCCTACCATAAAGGCCTGATTGGTGGAGTGCTGCAGTGATGGTTGTCCTTCTGGAAGGTTCTCCATCTCCACAGAGGAACTCTAGAGCTCTATCAGAGTGACCATCGGGTTCTTGGTCACCACCCTAACCAAGGCCCTTCTCCCCCGATTGCTCAGTTTGGCCAGGCGGCCAGCTCTAGAAAGAGTCTTGGTGGTTCCACATTTCTTCCATTTAAGAATGATGGAGGCCGCTGTGTTCTTGGCGACCTTCAATGCTGCAGAAATGTTTTGGTAATCTTCCCCAGATCTGTGCCTCGACACAATCCTGTCTCGGAGCTCTACGGACAATTCCTTCGACCTCATGGCTTGGTTTTTGCTCTGACATGCAATGCCAACTGTGGGATCTTATATAGACAGGTGTGTGCCTTTCCAAATAATGTCCAATCAATTGAATTTACCACAGGTGGACTCAAGGATGATCAATGGAAACAGGATGCACCTGAGCTCAATTTCGAGTCTCATAGCAAAGGGTCTGAATACTTATGTAAATAAGGTATTTATGTTTTAAAATAATAATAAATATGCACAAAAAAAAATACTGTTTTCACATTGTCATTATGGGGTATTATGTGTAGATTGCTGTGGATAAATTATTATTATTATTTTTTAGAATAAGGCTGTAACATAACAAAATGTGGAAAAAGTCAAAGGGTCTGAATACTTTCCAAAGGCACTGTATGGTAAAGCCTCAACCCTTGGCTACCTCTTCCAATTCAAATGAGCTAGAAAAAAGTGAATAATGACAACATTTGTATTGTTTTGTGTGACTACAGTGCCACCGATAAAATACAAAAATAGAGACATGTTCTAATTGAGCGAGGCGTCAAAGAGGACAACCCGCCCGCCCGGCTTCGGTTGGGTCATTATAATTAAAAACAATGCATTCTTAAATAAATCACAAACACGTTAAAACCTTGGTAGGAGCATCATTAAATCTCCGAGCTGTATCCCAAAACCATCGTTATTAATGTTGCACTTGAAAATGCTCCCGCATCACTTTATACAAAGAAGATCTCCGCTAAACATAGAATCACATGGTTTATCCCCCTCTCTGTGATGCAGATAACTTCAGAACAAAGTTGACTACAATTACGAAGTTGACAATGTCTTTGCAATTTATACAAACCAGTGACATATAACAAATGCTTCAAATTAAAACCGAGATGACTGCATAAAAATATAAATAGAGTAGGCTATAGGCCTATTTCAATCATATTGAAATACATTTTCATATTCTATTTTGCTACTTGTTGGCTACTGTCTGTAGGCTAATTTGTCTCAATATAAACTACATGGGCATTAATATGGAGTTGGTCCCCCCTTTGCTGCTATAACAGCCCCTACTCTTCTAGGAAGGCTTTCCACTAGATGTTGAAACATTGCTGCGGAGACTTGCTTCCATTCACCCACAAGAGCATTAGTGAGGTCGGGCACTGATGTTAGGCGATTAGGCCTGGCTCGCAGTCTGCGTTTCAATTCATCCCATAGGTGTTCGATGGGGTTGAGGTCAGGGCTCTGTGCAGGCCAGACAAGTTCTTAGTCTCTCCTTCACAGCGGGGGGCGAGAATGCGCCGTGAAGTCTCAGAGAAAGATGTAAATCTCTGGTGCGTCAAAAGCACATGCAAAAAATATGTTTGTTTGTGCTTAGTCTTTACTTCGGCAGTGGCGCCATCCAGAAACAGCCACCCTCTTCACCCACACACACGTTGTCTGATTTTAGTTTGACGTTTGTCTATACAGAGTGATGTGGAGAACACATAGACTCAGAGTCATGTATAGCATCTCTGAATGCAGCCTTTACCTGCACTGCAATGCATCACTGGGACATTGTGCCCATTTTGTAACCTGGTCCCAAATCTGTTAGTGCTCTTGTTAACTCCATTGCTGTCATTGTCATGCCAAAAATTCAATTAGGCAAGAGAGCAGCAACAGACTGGCACCCAGGCAACCCATTTTGTGGAACAAATTAAGGCAACTATAGATATGTGTGGGAATTTATGTATTGAAAAACAGAAAATCAGAATTGACCTCATATATATCTCAGTGGATTATATTATATGACAAACTAATATCTGGGTTTACACAGCACATATGAGATCAGAAAATTGAACTTTTCAGACTTTCTTTTATAGTAGCACCTCCTCTACATTAGTTTTTACCTCTTCTATTCTCCCTTTGTTTATTTGTGTGCACACGTGTGTGTGTGTGTGTGTGTGTGTGTGTGTGTGTGTGTGTGTGTGTGTGTGTGCTGCAGATTAAATGGATGCTAAAATCAAAACAGCAAGCAAAATATATATTCTGTAGTATGTATAGAAGAACAGTGATTCTTGGTCCAAATATTTTATTACTCTGTCTTCTACAATGTATTTGTATTTTAAATTGAGAATGCAGATCTTGCAGAGATGTTGAGACACATTTCAATGTTTATCAAATCAATCATGTAAACTACTCTATGGACTACCTGCTAACCATATAATCCTTGACAATTAATGTCAAAAATAACTAAGTGACACAAGGTTAAAATGTCAGCTTGGTATTGTTGACATCTTGTCCTGCTTCACTGCACAAACACTTGAAAGGTGCTTTTTGTGGGATTCACTGGGTCCCTCCCCCAGGTGGCCAGCTGAGGCCAAGGAGAGTAACAATGATAAAATGTGCAGGAATGTGTAGGTAAGCTGTGGGGAGAATCCATCCTGCCTCCAGTCTCAGTCCATCTGGGACAAAGAGCATCTTCTCCTAAACTCCTGTCCATGGGCCCGTACCCATTTATTGGCAACTAAAACCAGGGAAGAAATAAGAGTCAAGTTCTGTGCATTTCGTTTTTGTGTATCTCTAATTTACTATTTATATTATTTAATTATCTTATCACTTTATACCATTTTCACTTTATTATGTACTGATCAGCTGATAGGCTATGTTGTTTTCCCGTCTGACTGTAATGCTGATGTTATGGCTCAAGTCTTCCGGTACCCTACCGCTTTAAAGTCCCATCAATGCACTCCACTTACTAAACCCTTGTCTTACATTATAAAAAATACATTGAACCTTAATTCAGCAAATGTTTATTTTATTTGAATACTTTTATTTTGATTATTACATCTCAATATGCTTTTTAATGATTCTGTTGATATTATATGGATTATTATGTCTTAATTGAAATAAAATTGCTATAATAAGTGATGAGATTTTGTCTTTTGTCATTACAAAAAACGTTTTTCTATGTAATTGTCCATACTATGAAGCATAGGTGTTGATGGGAACTTACCCCATTTATTGCCCACAAACACAGGGCATGCAGCATGTAGGGTCCTAGCATCCTCCTCTCCATTCTGCAAAAGGTTGTACCACAGCACCGCTGAACCCTATAGCAGATGACACAGGTAACAATGAGTTCATGCGCATACCTCAATCCAGATCTACAAGCACTACTCATGTTTTACTGGCTTAGGGCAAGGATGCACAGCTCCAGTGCTCATTAAGGACCATCTATAGTGTATGAGACTGATTTTTACCTGAGAAACCAGGTATGTGCAACCAGTTAAGTGCCAGGGAAAACCATAAAGCAGCAGAACTGCGGGCCTGAGTTGTGCATCGCTGGCATTTGGACAACGCACACGGACACCTATAGTGTTTAACGTTGCTGTCACTACCCATATAACCATGAATAATGATAATGATGAATCAACTTTGACTGTACCTTGTGTGGTCGTAGAGCAGCGCCTATATCAGGGAACACAGTCGATCCACCCACTTCCACATCACTCATCTGGCATAGATCAGAGGAGGGAGACATTATGTACAACACAGTCACGTTTCATTACTGTGTTACATTTTAACCAGAGATATCGATATACAGCAGTCTTACATAGATTAAGATGGTTGCGATCCTGCCACCCCTCGTCATGTAGTCTGTGTCATTGGTCAGCTGTGGAGCATAAGAATATTACTTAATATGCTTGTTGAACAAATAACACATACCATTGTCAAATTATGTTAATGTTTACCTTGTAGTCGAAGTGTGGTTCATATTGGCCCCCAATCCCATAATTTGCAACCTGGAAAAACTGGCATTTGAGACATTCAAAAAATTCAACACCCTAATCCCTTAACCCTAACCTTATCCTCCAGCCAACACCCAGGCTTAACCCTGAGCTCTGCCTCTAGCTGTCGCCTACCTGGAGCATCTCTGCTGCCTTCATGTCCAGCCCAGTCAGGTCAGCCATTCTCTGGGTAACACGGGAAATGACAGGGTTGTCCTCATCAGCCAGCCAAGCACTGGCCACACAACACAAAGGGTTTAGACAAAGTCATAGGGTCACATATCGTCAGAGGGTATCACGGAATCTTTGGTCTATGATTGATCCTGATTGTCAAGCTTTGCAAGTGGCATTTGCAAAAATAGAGGATGTATAGAAAACAAACAGAGAAAGGCTTTATGGTGTATAAGTAGCTATTCAAATAGAAGTTCCACATTACCACATCCTGTCTGCTTAATGAATAATGTGTTTCAATACGCTAATAAAAATGCAAAATTTTATAACAACATAAAAATAACCTACCTTTTAGCCACACGGGTTTCAGTTGAAAATCTTTCCCCTGTGACATGGTCTGACACCTTTGCTCTGTCAAGCTTGGTCACAATGCACAACACAAAATTGAGTCCAAAATATAAACACACTTGTGAATATATTCTTAGTAGGTTCAAATCAAGCTACAGTACCTTTGATCTGGATAGGTTTTTTATGGTCTCAATCTCCCTTTCAGATACAAGGTCATGATATCGTATTATTAGTGGATGGTCCCATTCCTGCTCCTCTTTTATAGGGGCATAGATGAGCCGAGGATTGCCTCTACCAGTGCTGTACCTGCACCGCAATGTCTTCTGTCTCCTTGGGGTCTGGTAAGCACAGACACAACATATTTTATTTATACACTCACAAGTACAGAATTCATGGAAAAGTTCATGTTGGCAGCTCAGAACCAAACATTGTGTGAGCGCTGACCTATGGCCAGCTTTGTTACGGATGTTAAGGAGAGACTGTTCATTTCAATTCATAGTACGTTGCTATTTGTTATTGATTACGAGGGACTTGCCATTTTGATGCCCTCCCCTCTGCAAAGAGATTCGTATGAGGTTTCGCTTGCTGGTTTGATTAGTGTTAAGATGTCCACGGGTGCATCTGAGGGCAATGAGGGTGTTTGTGTCTGGCTCCCACACTGGATGCTCTCTCTCAGGGTTCTGTAGTAGGCCAGGTGCACCATGGTCTGCATGCTACTGGGGTCTAAAGGGAGGAAGTGTTTTGACAGACACACACTGTTATGTAGCACATCTTCGCTAACTCTCAAACTTGAGTCCAGATATCAAATTAACAAGGTCAAATACTTCACAGGAAAAGAGGGCTCACTCTCTAGAGATTAATGATCAATGTGTTGTTTTTGAAACCATTGCATAAGAGAAACAACTGCTCCTTTATGTAACATAGGCCCACATACCCAGCTCCTGCAACTGTTGCATTAGCTCCAATGCTAGAGGCAGATTGCCCATCTGAAAGGCTAGGGGACCCAGGTAGGTCAGAACCTCTCTCCTGGTCACCAGGGCTGGGATGCCCTCCTCCAGCTGCCTGAAGGTCTCCTGGAGCCAGAGCAGGGCATACTGGAACTTGTGGTTCTGCAGGGCCACCATGGCAATGTGGAAGGACTCATCTGGATCCAAGAGCGGCACATTTACCTGGCCTGTGAAGCAAAGCAAATAATGCTACATTTTATTTGTATGTTTCATTTGTAGAGACAGAAATCACAAAGCTCTGAACACAGCAACAACCTTAAAAAATGTATGAAAAATTATATGTATTTTATTTGAAAGGATAGAGGAGAGATACTGAACAAGAAACATAGACTATTGGAGGCAACAAAAGACTAAATGGTAGAACTTTTAAAACGTAACCCCTGTAGGTCTAAGCCCTTAAATCGCAATATCTACTAAGCTAACGTGTGGAATTGTTTTAAGATGGTCATAAAATGTATCATTTAGCCATTTGATTTGGAATTTTAGGACCCCTATAAGGTTTTTTGTTGCGACATTGCTTTTGTCGAATAAACCTGGGTCAATGGAAACCTGCCTACTGTCTTGAGAGTGAGAGTCTCCCCTTTCCATATTGGTTACATAATCATTTGTAGCTCACATGGTTCGGATTTTACAGATTATTTGGTGAGGAGTTTCTTGACCGAATTCTCTCATGTGTAGAAAAAGGCGGCTTTCACAAGCCCCATGTTATGGAATAGGAGCAAACGTTATTTCAGCGGAAAGAAGGGATTGAGCTGCAGCCACTAGAAGAAACTGCAAATATCTAGCATAAACACACGGGTGCGTCAATCAACTCTAGGGGGGTTTAACATTGGACCACAAGGACATTTAGACGAAGGCCAGTAGGTAAAAATGAGTCTTTAGCCCAGACTGAAGGTTGTGATGGTCTGGACCGTGTGGAGGTTGAAGTGGGGGTGGAGGGGAAGCTCATTCCACAGCTGGGGGCAGAAAGGGCAGAACGCTAGGTAACCCATCATTTTTAGGCGGGTTTTAGGGACAGACAGTCTTTGATCTATGAACCGGAGTAATATTTGGGGATGAGGGCAGTGTTGCCATGTTCGTAATTTTCCTGAAATTGGGCTACTTTGAAAACGATTTTGCGGGTGAAAATGGATTTGTCGCGGGTTGCGGGTTTTTGGCCTATTTCGAAGTTGCACCGCGGCCGCCATGACATTTCTCTTAGATATACATATATATCACTGTGACCTGCTGCTGCTGACTGTCAGGCAGGGAGGCAGGCTGGTGCTGAGTGAGTGAGTGTTGGAGAGGGCCGTAGGGGTGTGTGTGTGTGTGTGTGTGTGTGTGTGTGTGTGCGCGCGCGCGCGCGTGTGTGTGTGTGTGTGCGCGCATTACATACATTCCAAGGTGGTTTAAACTGCATTCCAATGTTGACTGCTTAAAGAAAACGGTATCAAGCGAAGTGTTTTATGCATGCTCAGTTCTTGGGTCTCGGAGGCTGCCGGAGTGGAAATTTGAAATGGAATTTATGGAACTCCCTCGCGTGGTTCTTTTTGATACAATAGATATGTTGAAATGAAATGATATCACTGGAGTCATTGCAAATTCATTTGTGCCACTTGTGTAACCTACCTGGAGCTGGCGGCAAACCAGTTTAATAAATAGCCTATAACTTCAGTTTATTGTTGTTGTAGCCTTGTGTTAATATGCAATTATTAATGGTCATGTTTAGTTAATTCAATTGGAAATTATCAAAGCTCTTTCGCAATTGCCGATCAGTTGTTAGAACGCGTTAGATTGACAGTAACAGTAGTCAGATTAGGCTACAGGTAAAACAAATTCTAAAAAATAAACACTGGCTGTTGTTGACAAGCATATTCAGTTCATATACATATTATTAATATTTAATTCAGTGATTGAAATTATGACCCCATCCTCAGTAGCCTATTCCAGCAGGCTATTGGGAAACACAAGCACCTCTTAATCGCCTCGCTATTCATGTTGAATAAATTAGTGTGTTAATTTGAACTAAGCAAGCTGCTAAATCGTTCAGTTTACATATTGCCTACATCTTGTCTAGGCTACTGTAGACTATCTGAAATGAGATGTAGGCCTATCAGGGGCTATATGCTTCCTGACTTTATCCAAGCAAACCATGGCAACATTGAATTACAATCATAATCCCAGATTTTAGTCTGTAGCCTATGCCTATTGAAATGACAAGTAAATCTCGCAAATGGGCCGTTTGTAGTCTTAACATTTGGCACATAATAACAGCACAATTGGCAGAAAATAGCCTAACATTTGTTTTTTATGTTCATCCAAGTTTTCTTGCTCAGAGATTTCGAGATCCTCTGTCCAATTTTCAGCACTCACCTATCGGATATATCTATAGTTATGCACATGCGCAAAGAGGGTTTATTTACAATTAGAAACCTGGTTCAAGCCCTGAATGCTGATTGGCTGAAAGCCGTGGTATATCAGGCCATATACCACGGATATGAAAAACATTACCTTTTACTGTTGTAATTATGTTGGTAAACAGTTTATAATCGCAATAAAGCACCCCCAGGGTCTGCGGTATATGGCCCATTTTGGGCTCCCGAGTGGCGCAGCGGTCTAAGGCACTGCATCTCAGTGCTTGAGGCGTCACTACAGACCCCCTGGTTCGATTCCAGGCTGTATCACAACTGGCCGTGATTGGGAGTCCCATAGAGCGGCGCACAATTGGCCCAGCGTCGTCCGGGTTTGGCCGGTGTAGGCCGTCATTGTAAATAATAATTTGTTCTTAACTGACTTGCCTAGTTAAATAAAAGTTAATTTAAAAAATATATATATATACCACAGCTAACGGCTGTATCCAGGCACTCTGCATTGCGTAATGCTTAAGAACAGCCCAGAGCCTTGGTATTTTGGCCATATACCATACCTCCTGATCTGGCGAGTTTAATGAATGCGAATGATCTTTTCTCTTGCCACATATTCAAATTCCTTTATTACGTCATGTCATAGCTTGCAATAATTATTATTTTGAGGAAACCTGAATTTTGCTTCTAACATCATTACAAGTTACTATGATATTCCTTCTTAATTGGCTCGATAACATTATGGAGAAAAAATAATATTGTATAAATATGGCAACTCCTCTCTTGCTGTGAAAAAAAACGGCTAGTTTTCAAGCCTTTTGGACAGGTTTTTAGCCTTCATTGGGCTAGGAATTTTAGCTTGACCTGGTAACCCTGGATGAGTGGCTTGCTGAGTTATTGTGGTCCAGAGCCATTGAGGGCAAAGAGGACTGTTGATTATTGTTTGTGATGTGTTTAGTCCAATGTTAGTTTAAAGGAAAGATATTACTCAAGTACTAAATATAGTTTTTTTTGCCCAATAAAGCACAAAAATGATTAATCTTACAGAAATCATCAAGCAATTGTGATCATTGAATGGTCAATTTAGGTATGTTGCTATTAAGAGAAAATGACTAGGAAAATGACTATTCTTAGGAGGCTTAAACTGCAATGGTGTGATTTACCAGAATGATTACACACTAAATGTTCGTAGATGTACAGTTCCCAGGTTAGTCTCACCTGACACATCTACTATAATGATTTGCATTTGCTGTTGTCTGTATATGTCCTGTAGACGCACGAGACCCAGTGCAACCCCATCCATGTCCTTCTCACTGGGGAGCCGCTGGGAGACCAGTGATACATTAGCCAGGAAATCTAGATGTATGGGAAAGGTTTAAACACGGCAGGGAGAAATGGAACAAGAATTAATGGACACTGGGTCTAGTCACTTTTAACACATTCATTTCCAAGCATACGTAACTGGTTTAGTAATGGAGTTGTGTAAGGTTGAGTAAGGCTGCGTTCAAAATGCCACACTATTATTCCCTAGTGCACTACTTTTGACCAGAGCCCTAAAGTAGTGCACTATATTAGGAAGATGGTGCCATTTGGGACACACCTTGGGTCTTGTGGTCACACTTAATATTTTATGTCCAAGCATAACTGGTTTAGTAATGGTCTTGTGTAACCTTGAGTAAGTTTGATTACGGTTATTTAAGACACACTTATACAACCAATAGTTGTAATAAGGTGAACATAGATTAGATTACAAGCCTTGTAGATAATATCTGTGATTAAAAAAAATATAACTTTGTGGAGGACGCCCTATGTGAGGGGGATCCCTATACAATGGGATACATAAAGACTAACGAGGGGTATTAAAAGTTCCATAGAGGAGGCCTGTGGGATCTCCAGTGTAAAGTACAGTACAGTGTCAGGTCTCAGGCAGTGTGGGAGAGGTGCCATTCATCTTTTTTGGGAACAAGGATCCATACTGTGGGTCAGAATCAGCCACATTCACCCCTCTCTGTCTGTCTGAACAAAAGGTCAGAAGCACATGCTCAAACTGCATGCAGACCAAGTCAATAAGTAATGCCAGCACTCTTACATACAGTATATGTTCTTTATGTCCAAAGGGGAGGGGAGACCGCGAAAGCTTAATCTGCATCATCGATCCATAAAAACATGATGTTGTATTAACACGTACACGCACACACAAACTGAAAACAAAGATCATCCCCCCTAAATTCAAGGCTTAAATCAACAGTGGAAGTGTGTATATCTTGCAGATAGATACTATGTGGATACTGTATACATCTAATGATGTTAATTCAAATTCAAGATATTAGATCACTACCTTCAATATATGAAGAACATGTCTTGGCAACTTGTTCCACCATGTTCCACTCCTGCCTCAGTCTTCGCACCAGCTTGTATGCAGTGAAAGGGTTGCTGATGTGTTTTTCCAGGTCCTCTGGGAAGTCTCCAGAGGCATTTTCACAGGCTTCAAGAACACTGTGTTGGATTATTAGAAAATATGATTATCTGAGACCAGCAGAAGAGTATGTAGGACCTGTGGCACCAGAAGCCACAAAAAATAAAAAAAATAAAAACTCCTAGATTACGGTTGGAAAATGATCATTTTCTTTCAACAGCCACATACTGTATCTACATGTCCACCTACCCTGGTGAAGACCAGAATGGGGCCGAAACACACAGGCAACATTTTTTATTTTTTTCAGAAAATGAAGATTTCCTGACAGCAATCTAGGAGTATTCGTTATTTTTTTCTTTATTGCCAATAAGATCAATAAAACAATAAAAACTAATTGCAACTCTCTTTTTAGAGGACTTAGACTTAATTATTGTGCCAAAAGATATATCACTTTTAAGTGGAATCACAAGGACCCAGTTTCCCGCAATGGATAAATGAGGTTAATTGCTGAATATTATGTGACAGTGGAAGTGGAAATTTCACATAAACCCACTACCCTCTGCACTGTCACCTGTTGAATCGGTCTATGCATTGTTTCTGTGCTGTGATGTAATCTCTGAGGCTCTGGATTAGGCTCCGCTCAATGACAACCAGCTCCATCATGTGATCTGTCAGGAAGGGGAAAATGCCATTCCCCATGAATACCATCTGACGCTCATAGACACAGAGGTGCACATACACTAATAGTGAATCCTCTTTAATCACAAATCTGTGACTGACCTCAATCCTGACTATAAGGTATTGATTCAGTGAATGTGCATCTAAAAATGTATATGATAACTTTACCTGTAGAGGAGTAGAACTCAGTCTCTTCAGCACAGAAAGTCCAGCCTATCAGCAATAATAAAACCACACGTCGAAGACAATTTGCTTCCATTTCTTGGCTAGTCGCACAGCTCTAACCCTATTTCAGTAAAACTCCACATATACCCAATGTTGATGTAGAACCAGCAAATAAAATCTTATTCTTCTCAGATTCCAAGATGAGAGTCCAAAGCAGAAATCCTGTGGTAAGATACAACTACTATGTTCTGAAAGACACACTATTCCAAAGGCAGTCTAGAAGCCAAACATGTCCACGTCAATGAGTCTGGTCAAACCCTTACATCTTGAGTCACTTGCGCCTACAGTTTTCATAAAGCACAGTCATGGCAATTAGAGCATATTTTCATTCGCACTACTCTCAATTGAGTAACCTACTGTAACAGTTTAAGGCCACAGATTATGGTACAAGTAAGAGCGTGTTAGCCACATTGTCTTACAAATGCTGTAAACAAGAGATAGACAGAGGGAGCAAAATGGCAGGAAGTTGTGCAAAACCATGTAGGCGCTAAACCCCTACTACTGTACCTCCCTGTTGGCGTATGTGTCATAACGCCTAAGTAGAAATGCATTTAGTTTAACTGAGTATTTAGCATTGAACTGAACCAGGTTTATGGAGATACCACCATGGACTACTGTTAATCCTTGTAATGACAGGTTGTGTACATGGCTTCATTTATGGTGAAACACCAGAAGACATAAAGCCATGCTTATGAATCATAGGCTGAGTCCCAAATGGCACCCTATTCCCTATATAGTGCACTATTTTTGGCCAGGGCCAGGTAGTGCAGAGATGTGGATGACCAACGTTGTGTAATACATGGGGAAAAACAACATCTGTAGCAACTCCTCCTATTTCGTAACTCTTACATGGAACTCTCTTACCCAACACGTGTATTCTGTTAGGGTGTCATCTGTTTGTCTCAAATGAACCACAAAGTGCACCCTCATCAACATACAAACCTGTCATGAGAGGATATCTAGGGAATGTGGACAGCAATTTGACATAATATCCAAACAAGGCTAAGGGAGTCTGCGCGTAGAGAGAAAAGTCTTTAAGAAAAGTATTTATGGGTGTGGACAGATAGTAAATTAGACTTGTGCGGTAACATTAACATTTCTTTCCTGTGTTCAGTCAATACTTAAATAGAAGCACATGGTAAGATGTCCCACAGTCATAGTAGGGTAAGTGCAAATTAGACGGTTATGGAACAAGGCAGTTTGGAGATATCATGGCAGAGAGGTGGGAATGAGACCTTTACGTGTAGGCCCACAGCTGATCTCATCTACAGTACATGGGTTCCCATATACACTGAGTGTACCAAACATTAGGAACACCTGCTCTTTCCATGACATAGATTGACCAGGTGAATCCAGGTGAAAGCTATGATCCCTTATTGATGTCACTTGTTAAATCAAATAAAATCAGTGTAGATGAAGGGGAGGAGACAGGTTAAAGAAGGATTTTTAAGAATTGAGACATGGATTGTGTATGTGTGCCAATGGGCAAGACAAAATATTTAAGTGGCTTTGAACGGGGTATGGCAGTAGTTGCCAGGCGCACCGGTTTGAGTGTGTCAAGAACTGCAACACTTCCAGGTTTTTTACGCTCAAAAGTTTCCCGGGTGTATTAAGAATGGTCTACCACCCAAAGGACATCGAGCCAACTTGACACAACTGTGGGAAGCATTGGAGTCAACATGGGCCAGCATACCTGTTGAAGGCTTTCGCCACCTTCGTCCATGCCCTGATGAATTGAGGCTGTTCTGAGGGCAAATGCGGGTGCAACTCAAAATTAGGAAGGTGATCCTAATGTTTTGTACACTCAGTGTAGATCAAATGTTCAGACAAAACGAACCAAGATTCCAGGAAATATGAACATCAAATATTAAGGTACCGTGTCTCACAGGCAATATCAAAGTATATCAACACTGCTACTCACAGACACCAAAAACAGCACACATTGGCCCATAGGTGGTGCTGTAATATGCATTCAAAGTCTAAGGCTCAGCCCCGCCGCTCCGCTTGACATTAAATCCCGAAACTTGGTAATTAAGTGTTTCTCATTATAAGGACCAAATTTGCCTCAAGGACCCATACGGTCCACCATATTGGATTTTTTCTCATCAAATCTTTTTCTCGTGAACCGAACATTCGATTGAGTCAAAAGCGATATCTCAAAAGATGAAAGAGAAAAAGGCAACTAGGTGGTTTTCTTGAATACTGGAACAATAACTTACTCAAAGTCAGGGAAAATGTTGACAACAACATTACTGTAATGAGTTACAGGGTAAAGGCTGAGATGTTACCAAATCGCAGTCTGCTCGGAAATGAGTCCCTGTCCATTAGTCCTTGTTCGAGAGCATCAAAACCGTGATGTAGCATGGGTAAATTGTGACTGACTGATCTACAAATAATATTGAGTAGTTATTTTGTAGGTGATTTGACTAGTCAGTCTTGACTCACCTTTAAAATCGACTGCAATGTTGAAAGCGCCCATAGAGTTTGGTCACGTTACCCTGCTCAGACATTGGATGCATCCACCAATGGTTGCGTACCAGGTCATCAACTGTGCTGTCGGACACCAGATTGCTATAACATATGGTACTTAAAATACCTATCCAGGCGTTGTAAAATCTGGCATGCATCATCAACGCCTGGGCAGAGGAACAAGCCCCATGTTTGTAGGAGAAATGGCGCACTCATCACCGCTTTGCTACAATTCTCTGTCGGGAACAGTTGGGATGTGTTAATCTGGAAAACATGTCATCCTTACTAGGTGGTGATGATGGCATTGCTTAACATACATGAATAGCATTTCTCAAATGGTGGTGATGACATTATGAAACAGTAACGTTACACAACTTTGTTCACAAGGTTACCATATAGGCCTTCCCATCTAGCCTGGTCTCATATCTGTAGGCATGATAGCACAAACAGACTGACCCTCAGGCAGCTTCCCATCAGCTAGTGGCTAACTCCTGAAGTTGTTCATATCTGATGTTGACTAGTCCTTTTTTCTTGCATTTAGATCATGCAGGCAGCGTTGATGGGATTTATCAGGCTGTCAGATATAAATCATGAGCCTTAGCCCATTTTAGGCTAATTGAAAAAAACGAAATCATAAAATAGGTTAGGACTAGGCAAAACCTCATAACGACTTAATTTGACAGAGCCGGCAGAGAGATCAGCCATCACAATAATGAATGTAGACCTACTGCACTTCTAATAAAAGACAGTGTTTATTCTATAAAAAAATGTCACAATCATACAGTGTAATAATTTAAGCAGTCTATAAATACAAACGAAATGGACAGGAACAGATGAAGCAGTAAGTTCTGATAGGGTTGTGCAGTCAGTATGTGGTTATTCATAAGTCATTTTTGTATAAAACATCTGAATGCTAAACAAATAACATGTAAACAAAACAAGAAATCAGAGACTTTAATCTGCATTCACAAATCCATTTCTCTTTATCTGCATAGTTACTGCAGAGTCCCAAGCTTCAGATCATTGTTAAAAGCCATAATGGATACCACAGTAGGTGTGTTTGTGTGTGTGTTTGTGTGTGTGTGTGTGTGTGTGATCAATCAAAAGTTCAGGCACTGCAGGTGGAGTGTACTCCTCCAGCCAGGGGTTAGGGGTGAGAGGTCAAGTTCAGTCCACTTCTGTCATGCCACATGGCCTCCTGAACTCCTGACCTCGCTCGTGGATCCATTTGTTGGACACTGGCAACAGATAAAAATAAATGTATGTCAGTCTCAATTCAGTGTCAGTCTCAATTATCTCCAATGTGTGACACTAGGGCTCTGTTAAAACCTACAACTACCAGGAAGACTCCACTCACAGGTAGATGCTTCCTATTCTCAAAGTGCGGTGCCTTCAGAAAGTATTCATACCACTTGACTTATTCCACATTTTCTTGTGTTACAGCCTAAAATCCAAATGGAAAAAAAAATAAAACTCACCCATCTACACACAATACCCCATAATGACAACGTGAAAACATGTTTTTAGGAATTATGGCAAATTTATTGAAAATGAAATACAGAAATATCTTATTTACATAAGGATTCACACCCCTGAGTCAATATTTTGTAGAAGCACATTTGGCAGCAATTACAGCTGTGAGTCTTTCTAGGTAAGTCTCTAAGAGCTTTCCACACCTGGATTGTGCAACATTTGCCCATTATTATTTTCAAAATCTTCAAGTTCTGTCAAATTGGTTGTTGATCATTGCTAGACAATAATTTTCAGGTCTTGCCATAGATTTTCAAGTATACTGAACAAAAATATAAATGCAACATGCAACAATTTCAAAGGTTTTACTGAGTTACAGTTGATATAAGGAAATCAGTCAATTTAAATAAATTCATTAGGCCCAGATCTAAGGATTTCACATGACTGGGAATACAGACATGCATCTGATGGTCACAGATTCCTTAAAAAAAGGTAGGGATCAGAAAACCAGTCAGTGTCTGGCGTGACCACCATTTGCCTCATGCAGCGCGACACATCTCCATCTCAGAGTTGATCATGACTTTCTGAATGCACTGTATACACACACACACACACATATATATAAATATGTGTATGCAACAAATAACATTTAATTTGATGTATTGTCCGGCTGAAAGGTGAATTCATCTCCCAGTGTCTCATGGAAAGCAGACTTAACCAGGTTTCCTCTAGGATTTTGCCTGTGCTTAGCTCCATTCCGTTTCTTTTTTATCCTGAAAAACTCCCCATTCCTTAACGATTACAAGCATACCCATAACATGATGCAGCCATCACTATGCTTAAAAGGTTAATTGCTTTGCCACATTTATTTTGCAGTATTACTTTAGTGCCTTGTTGCAAACAGGATGCATGTTTCAGAATATTTTTATTCTATACAGGTTTCCTTCTTTTCACTTTGTCAATAAGGTTAGTATTGTGGAGTAACTTCAATGTTGTTGATCCATCCTCAGTTTTCTCCTATCACAGCCATTAAAAACTCTGTAACTGTTTTAAAGTCACCATTGGCCTCATGGTGAAATCCCTGAGTGGTTTCCCTCTTCTCTGGCAACTGAGTTAGGAAGGATGCCTGTATCTTTGTAATGACAGGGTGTAATGACCATCCTAAAGTGTAATTCATAACTTCACCATGCTCAAAGGGATATTCAATGTCTGCTTTTTTTATTTTAACCCATCAACCAATACATGCCCTTCTTTGCGAGGCACTGGAAAACCTCCCTGGTCTTTTTGGCTGAATCTTTGTTCACTGAAATTCACTGCTCGACTGAGGGACCTTACAGATAATTGTATGTGTGGGGTACAGAGATGAGGTAGTCATTCAACACTATTATTGCACACAGAGTGAGTCCATGCAACTTATTATGTCACTTGTTAAGCAAATGTATTTAGGCTTGCCATAACAAAGGAGTCGAATACTTATTGACTCAAGACATTTCAGCTTTTAAGTTTAATTACCTTGTAAAAATTTAGAAAAAATAATATCACTTTGACATTATGGGGCATTGTGTGTAGGCCAGTGACAAAACATCCCAATTTAATCAATTTTAAATTCAGGCTGTAACACAAAAAAGTAAAGGGTTGTGAATACTTTCTGATGGTACTGTAAGTGTATGTGCAGGCAGACTTTCTATGTCATTTGCTCAAGCCATGACACCCACCATCTCAGATTGTTAGAAACAGATAAGATAAGCATTCCTTCAACATTATTTTGTTGAAATATAATTTCATCGTTGAGAAATTAATCTAATTGATTGCACCCAAATTGGCCATTTTATTTGATAGGATTCATATAATATTCAATAAATATAGTACCCAACCTCCGATTTGGACCAAACTTCTTCTTACCAATGAGTAAGACATGAGGAATCCAAAAATGGTTGCTAAGAGAAGGCCAACAACATTTATTTCATGGAGAACTGGCTTGACTTGTATGACCACATAATTTACAGTATTTTCATCATGAGCAATTTGGGTGCAATCACTTATCTTCATTTCTCAAAGATCAAATTATATTTTGACAAAATAATGTTTCAGGAATGAAAATCTTATCTGTTTCGAACTACAGAAACGATTTCAGAACAATCTGAGATGGTAGGTGTCAAAATCCTCTTTCTTGTGCTTTTTGATATGGAACGACCCTGCAGTAACATTGCTATGAAGGTTTGATTGCAGCCTACGTGAGAGATACAATAGAGATACATACAAGGAACACTGACTAGGAAGTAGTCAAAGAAACACATCAAATGACTGACACCAATGAATTTATTGATATTGAGATTAGAGGCTGCTTGTGTGTTTGGATTAAACTCTCCATCCAACTCACCCCATTTACTTCCTACTAACACAGGACAGGCAGCGTGTCTGGTCCTGTAGTCTCCCGCTCCGCTCCTAAAGAGGTTGTACCAGAAGACTGCAGTTCCCTGTGGACACACATAGAGGAGACATACCCTGTTCAGCACATGTAAGTCACCACTGCATTGACATGATGGACCACTATAAGATATTGTGTGCCCTCTCAACCCAGGGTTACATATATTTGATGAATAGGGCCAGGAGTTTTCCCTGACCATGTGACCCGACCAGGAAAATCTAGAGCCAAGAGTTTTTCCTGACCAGGTCACATGGTCAGGAAAAGCTCCTGGCCCTATAGTGATGAGGGCTGTACTTGTGTAAGAGTAGGTAAATGGTTTGTCTCTCACCTTTTTGGGATAGATAGCTGCTCCAAAGTCTGGGAACACAGTTGCTCCTCCCGCTTCAACATCACTCATCTGTCAGGGAAAACAAAACCCTGTCAGCTGGCTTTACTGATATACAGTAACTGCACTTATGAATTTACTATACTGTAAGAAATGTGTACTGACTTTACAAGGATACACTGTTATAACAGGTGTGTAATGATACAAGTTACAGGTAGCCTATCAGTTAGAGAGGGGACTCAGCAACCGGAATGTTGCCAGTTATAATCCCAGGTCTGACGGTATCAAATCCTACATGACATTGCTTGTTGTTGTGCCCTTGAGCAAGGCACTTAACCACCCATAACAACTGTTCCATGGGCGCCCAGTGTGGCAGCCCCCTGCTCCAACCTGTATATGTATACATGTGTCTTTCAGAGGGGTTGGGATAAAGCAAAGTTACATTTCTATTGGACCATGTGTACAATTGACGAATAAAGTGATCTTAATTTAAAAATAATAATAATAGCAATGTAAAGACTACTGAAGATCTAAATAAGTGTCTTGAAAGTCTTGAAACTATGACAAATTGTTTAATGACACTAAACATAATATGTTTATCATACACCATTATACTATTATACACCAACACCAAGTCCATAAGAGCCAGCCATTCAACTAGACAGAAGTGCAGTAGAAAAATGAATCATCCAAAAGCGCTGTAGTTCTGCAAAGCATGGCATTCTTCTCTATTTACACACTCACATCATGCATTATATTGTATTAGCATGGACCAAGAAACGAGATAGCATGTTATGGGGTAGGGGGTACAACACACCGCAATATGCACTGAAATTGACAGACAGAGACTCCAACGGTAAATGTCCAGTATTTTATCACGTTTCTTCCGACAACCATCTACTAGGTTAGTGATGGTATGAGTATGCGGTAACACTGATTGTCAGATGTTTGACAAACATGGAAATGTCAATCAATTGAAGTCCAATATTCAAATAGAGGTCATGGATCTGCCAAAAACAAACATTATACAAAATGGAGACCCAAAAAGAAGAGTCCAAATCTATATCAGTAACTGCTACTGTAAATTGCTACTATAAATTGACAGCAGCAACTGGTTACGCATACTTACGTAATTTAAAAAAGTAGCCACACGATTTCCAGTGCCTAATGTTTTGAAAGCATCAGGTTCATCTTTCTATGAAGATAAAATTTGAGAGTAAAACACAAGTTGAACACACACAGAGACATGTACTTACGTAGTTCAGGAAGGTAGCAAGTCTATTTCCATCGACCATGATGTCCTGAGGACGCTGCAACAAATGTTTATAACTTTTAACCCAGACTGAAATGAATAACTCTAGGATCCCGCCACTAGGGCCCTATAACTAAATTGATTATTAACATCTGTTTGACTTAACATAGTTACTGAAAATCAGTGAGGCCTAACCAATTTCACAAAATATGAGCAACTATTGAATATTCAGTGTATCGAAAATAATATAATATTGAATAATTAGATGATTAGATTATATGGATATCTTTTCATGAAGTCAATTGATGCTTTGTGCAGCTCCCATGAGCAACACTGGGAATCAGTAGAGCTACTGTCTACAAGTGGGTGGTGACCCCGGGCATCTTGAGTGCACAGTCTGAAACCTTCCAGACAGAAGAAATATACACACAGTACTCACTATAAAAACTTCAACTGTGCCCGAGGTTAAAAATGCAATCTTCATCCTGCTGTGATCTTTTTGACAAAAACTTAAAATAAAACAACTTCTGAACGTGTATTGAATGTGTTTTTAATGAACTCCATAACTCAATCACCACATATCAAAGGCAGCATGCATGGAAAAACGTGATTATGTGTGAAAATGTGATGATTTATATTATTACTAGAAAAAGTATTCTCCTTCTAGGAATATGCATCCCTAGATGCGTCCCAGAGCCCTGGTCAAAAGTAGTGCACTATATAGGGAATATGGTGCCATTTGAGATAATACCTAGGTCTCGTTTGGCAATCTGCCATATAGGAATTCAGGGCCTCTCTTAAGATTACATACTATTCTAGCAGTGGATGATCAATGATATGGAGAACCCCCTGCCAAAACTTTATAGGTCCACATTTGTCTTAGACAATGTCTTGCATGTTGACAGCTAACACTGTCAACAGCGCAGCGGTAAATGTGTGTGCTACGGAAGTAATTTTTTATCACAAGTCAACATACACGGGAAAACATACTTCTCCATAGAACCCAGCAGGATAAACCATTGCATGCCTGTTGCATCCCTTTTCAGATGCAACAGAGAGCAATTTTAGTCTGTCTAGAGGTTACCCTTACCCTGGAGAAATCAAAATGTGGCTCATATTGTCCTCCGACCCCGTAGTTAGCAATCTGTTCAGTGAAAAGAGAAGAAGCTGAATTATTTGACAACATCTGAAGCTTAAGACTAGTCACACAAAACCAGGTGTCTGTTAAAAATGTCATTGCAGTTTCACAAATAGTGAACAGGGGTATTCTAGCAGTGAGCCACCAGAAAATGGTATCCAGTGTTAGGTAATATGCGTGTCTAACAGGTAGAACGCATGTACGGTCCTATATAGTATGTGGTGTGTACCTGGAGTAACTCGGCAGTCTGCGTTGTCAGACCTGTGATGTCCTCTATCCTCTGGTTGACACGCTCAATAATAGGGTCCTCCTCCCCCTCCAGCCAGGCACTGAAGGACAACACATCCACTGACTCGACATAACAACAACACTCATTCACCCAGAGATTAAGCATAGCTAAACATGATCCACAGAGGGCGCCAAAACCCTGCTTACCCATAATAACTCACCTTTTTGATACCCTGTAGTTTGCTGTGGTCAGAACGCCTGTTTTTGGGTCTCGAACAGTAGCTCTTGCAAGCTATACAAAGATATACAGACAAGTATAAATAAATATTGACATACAGTATTTGTAACATTTCATTTTCCTTGGACATTCACCACCTTATGATTATGTTTCAATACTACCACTAAGACATACAGTATAGTATTATATCTAAAAATAGAGATAATCTGCGAGGTTATAGTGGCCCTGCTGGTACTGTTTACTGCTCCTCTTACCCTGGGCTTGGCCAGCTCCTTAATCTTCTCAATTTCTGAGTCTGACAGGGCGTTGAGGTAGCGGACGATATGTGGGCTGTCCCACTCGTCCTCCTCCTTCATGGGCTGGAGCAGCAGGCGAGGGTTCCTGTTCCCGTCATGGTAGCGGCAGTACAGCCGGCTGCGCCTCTCAGTGGTCTGGATGGGGTGGGATGGGTTGAGGGTGTGGGAGTTAGACAGGAATTCACATCTCCTCTCCCAAACCCTGTTAAGTTACCTCACATCACCTCTCTAAAAGTTCCCTCACATTACCACTCAACATACGGAATAAATAACAGTGTCGTTTTTAGACATCCCCCTTCTGACACCATATCATGTAAATCCCTGTCTGCTAATGCTCTCTTGTCAACTCCATATCACTCCTTGTCATGCCATGACAACGAGTGACAAGGAGTTGACATGATAGCACATACTGGGACCAGGCTACATCTCATGCTCCTTACTTATAAATCCCTATCTGTGTGTTATACGATTCAGTCAGTCTCACCATTTTGACTCCCTCTCCCCTGCACAGGCCCTCATAGATCTCCCTCTCAGGCAGGGAGTCCTTGGGTCTCTTGTAGGTCCCCAGCTGGATGGGCTCCTCTGTGGCTGGCTCCTGGACCTCCTGGTTCAGCTCCTTCAGCTGCTTGGACAGCAGCTTCTCAAAGTAACGCAGGTTCCCTCCTGCCCTCTGGTGGCTAGAGTCTGTAAGGACACCATGGGTGTTGCAGTTCGGCAGATTAAGAGGACATGGGGAATATGAGGGAATTGTGTGATGGCATGACACAATTCAACAACGTTTAACTCTCATCAATGGTTTGAGTGAAAATAAACTGTCTCTCTGTGTGATGCTACTATAACCAAACAAAATACATCAGTTTTGAGTACCAAGGGAAATAGGCCTAAACACTTACATTGAATGTCTGAAATAAGATGCCCACTTGTGGTCTTTGGAGCCAGTTATTTCAAAATTGCTATTACATGTAATGGGATGAGAGGCATGATAAAGGATTTAATGCAGTATAGCAAAAAGGCATTCATTTATTTTAGTTAGGTCCAGTTGTCTTTTCATTTGGAATTACAGGAACCGCTACAACAAACATTTTATACCAACTCCCTAGTACGGCATTTCCCTTTGTCTACTTCAAAGGCTTTGAAGAGTTAAAAGTAGCACGTTTCCTGCCACAATCACACTGGGAATTGGGGTCACAGACAGCTGTAAAAAAGATACCAAAACTAGAGACAACTACCCAACAATATGTTACTCTAGCTAACTACAGTAGCTAATGTTATTATTTTAAATCTGATTCTTTACTTGGTAAATATGACAGTGCTGGTAGATCTTCCTAGTTGTTGACCTTGGGCTCGGTCCATTTAACTTCACATTCAAACAAAGTAACCAGAACTCCATAATTGCAGCCTTTAACAGACAACAACATCCCTGATGCAGTTCAAAATAGTAAACCATGACCACTCTTTGGGTTACACCCTGGAACTCTGGACGTATACGAGAGGTTTTGAGAGGGTGATTATGTGAGAATGTGCGAGAATATGAGAGTATTTGAGGAAGTGTGAGTGTGTTAATGAGAGTGAGAATGTGTGAGGGAAAGTGAGAGTAGAAGACATTGAGAAAGTGAGAATGTGTGAGAGAGGGTATGAGAGAGTGCGAGAGAAAGACATCTCTCCTGTTGTCAAACACCCCTAATAATCAGCTCCTGGATATAAAACAGCAGTATGTCATGTGTGTGTCCTACCGATGGCCACTAGGCGGCGTGTCAGCTCGATGGCACGGGGCAGGTCTCCCATCTGGTAGACGGAGTAGCTGAGATAGTCCAGGACATCGGCCTTGGACACCACGTGCTCCTCCCCTGCATCAATCTGCTTGAGGGCCTGCTGCATCCACAGCACCGCGTGGTAGTAGTCTGCCTCATTGTACGCCGTCTTCCCCATGTCGTAACAGTCATCCACTGTCAGGATGGCGTTGTGGTGCATCCCTGCAGGTATAGTATAGTATAGTGTACCATTTTGTCAATACAGCACCATTCTGCTCTGTTTGAGGTTTCCCGGTAATAACTGTTTATGATTTGTTTATCAACTGTTCATGAGGTTACTCCATGAGAGTGCTCCATAAATCCATAATGGTGTTATGATACTGTAGTGTATGTTGCTATAGCAGCAGTAAGAGGGTCATATCAAAACACTCTGCTTTTGCAACCTTTTTCTGACAGAGTTCCCAGACTTGGTGGGGTGTGCAATACTAGGATAGGATGTACGTTTGTCATAAAAGATAGTGAATGTGTGGCCACAGCATTTGCTGTTGGTATCAAGACTGTTCTGTTTGAGCTTGCATTTCTGGAGAGGGTAGACATCTGGCTGGAAGAAATAGAAACCGATCTCTGCAGTAGCACTTAGCGGTCTGATAGTGCTGGGAGGGCAGGCTGAGAAATGCTCAGCTCACACACTGTCTATATCCCAAATGGCACCCTATTCCCTATATGGTGCACCACTTCTGACCTGGGCCCATAGCGCTCTGATCAAAAGTAGTGCACTATGTAGGGAATAGGGTGCCATTTGGGATGCAGCCACTGTGATAACACATCTGGAGCCTTCTGGAATCTTCCTTGGCAGGGTTTGAGTGACTGTTCACACACAAAGAGTAGGGATGAGTCAAGGAGAGGATAGAGCCTCACCTGGCAGTTTGCCGTTGGAGAAGCTCTCTGAGTCCAGTTTGTACGTGTCCTGGAGACGCATCAGAGCCTTGGCAGCACCTTTCTCATCCTCCTCGTCAGGGAAGAACTGCCTGTGTACTGTCATGTTGGAGATGAACACTGAGGAGGGAACACAGTGATAGAGACACAGAGTGAAGCAGTGAAAAATGATTCAAATCTTGTGAATCAAATGCAGCGTCCCAAATACTACCCTATTCACTACTTTTAACCAGGGATTTGATAGGGACTTTGGTCAAACGTAGTGTACTATATAGGGAATAGGGTACCATGTGGGATGCAAACAAAGAGTCAAAGGCATCAAGGCATCAAGCACAGAACATCTGCAGTGGAGTTGCCTGGTGTGGACTGCTATGATGTGTGATAATGTAATGTGTGAGGTTAAGATAACTAGAGAATGTAAACTGTGATGCTAGCCATGCATAGGCTAAGAGCTCTCCAGGGACACACAAGGGAGACTAGCTGATATAATTAAGCAATAAGGCACGGGGGAGGGGGGTGGTATATGGCCAATATACCACGGCTAATGGCTGTTCTTATGCACGATGCAACGTGGAGTGCCTGGATACAGCCCTTAGCCGTGGTATATTAGTCATATACCACAACCCTCGAGGTGCCTTATTGCTATTATAAACTGGTTACCAACTTAAATAGAACAGTAAAAATAAAATGTTTTGTCATACTCGTGGTATGTGGTCTCATATACCACAGCGTTCAGCCAATCAGTATTCAGGGATCAAATCATCCAGTTTATAATGATAATTACTCCAGGTATTCCATTTAGCCAATGTTGGTAGGTCCACACATACACACAGCTGCATGGCTGTGCATACTGCATACAAAGATAAAACATACACACAAGACAAAAGACACACACAGACACATACACACACACTGTAGATGTGGCCAATGTAAACAGAGGAAAGATGCAGCTGCACATGAAAGATGACAGCCTGTGTTCTCTCTCAGCTCCACTCTACTCTGCAGATGTGGGGGTGGAGCAGGATGGATCAGAATTGGCCTCACACCCTCTTTTCCACAAGCCTCCTCAAACCCACACACAGAGGAGCTATATAGAAGCTGTAACCTCTCTCTCCCTCCGACCCTATCGTACCGTCTGAGGGGTCCTGCAGCACCAGGCTCTCCAGCTCGGACCACTCCGTGTTGAGTCTCTTCATCAGCTTGTAGGCGTTGACGGGGTGGGCCAGGTAGCCCTCTGGGTCTGAAGTGGAGGCACGAGTCAGCACGTCCAGCTTGTTAGCCCAGCTACAACACAGCACAGCACAGGGAAGGAAACAGTCAGGTTCAGTATAGTAGAGAATGATCTCCAATCGTGCTACAATCTGATTTTAGATCATTTCTCAAATGGGCCTATTCTGTCTAGTCTTATTTTGGCAAATGAACATAATTGAAAACAAGGCTATCAAAGTCGTATGGTTACAGAGTGTAATGTTCACCTTTTCACAGCAGCAAGTTTGGACTCCTCTGCTTGAATATATTCTTTCAGGGACTGAACCAACTCCTTCTCTGTGTATATCAGGTCTGTCATTTGACCTAATGGAAAGTTGAAAGAAAAAGGGCCATGTTGAATATGAAACTGGAAATGACTCATTAAATGTGTTATAGACTACTGCACACCTTTGTAATAAATGTGTTAGGCAACCAGGTCAAGTATTTTCCTAAGGGAAAGTGGTGGACGTAGAATATGCTTTGGTTTAATTGTCTGTAAAATAAAGTTACCTCACACAGACTTTAGTAAGTAAAAAGTCTCCACCTGTAGCATTCTCTGCTGTGATTGTATAGAATTACCGGTATGTGTCCAACCACACAGCATTCTAAATACCCATGGTTCTTGGGGTAAGGGGGCGGGAATGCTGCTGTGTGCAGAAAACAATTCCATAGCAACGCTAGACAGTTAAGAGTGAACTCAATGCGGTTGCCAGAAGGAATAGCAAAACAGCTTCAAGCAAGATTTATATCTTAGGGTAATGGCAGCCAAAGTAAGTATATAAGATACTTGCCTAGTTACTGATATGTGTTGTATCAAAACAATGCTTAATGAGGCTGCTTAAACTATGTGAAATCCATGGAGTATGCTGTAAACTATCCGAAGCCTAAGTCTGTAGCAGGTGTTTCCTTCATTTGATAGCTATGCTGGACAGATGTGAGGAGAGTTCAGAGACTTAGCTAATTGTTTTCCAGATCACTTTTAGAAGCCTGATGAACACTCTGGAGGTTTTGGCGAAAGAAAGAATGTCAGTCAACTCTAAGACAAAGAGGCCCAGGAGGCCGGGGGTGTAAAGCTCTCTCTTCTCAATAGCATACTGTCCACAGCAAATACAGCGGAATCAACATGCTTGGAAAGGCAGGAATCCTGAATTCAATATCCTATAGACTTAAGAATTCTAAATGAGATGATTTATGACAGGAATTAGGGCATGCAAGAACTAAGGATGACTGGTGTCATGTCAGACATACAAGGGTAAGGGTATTGGCCTACTTATAGAGTTGTAATGGTAAAGGGTGCCTACAGAGGCTTAATCGTATAGCCATATAGTACATGGGTATAGGTTTACCTATAGAGGTGTAGACTTCAGCCTGAACGCTCCAGAAGCAGCAGCAAACCAGAGCCAGGGCTAGGAGAGACAGGTGTTTCCTCATTGTACTGGTAGATAAGACCTGCAATGACATCACACAATCACATCAATTGGTCATTCAATTCAATACAATACAACTTTATGTATCCCCTCAGGGGCAATTAAGACAGGCAAGTCAGTCATATCCTTTTTAATGATCCACACAACAAATTACATTAAGCTACTATATTATCAGAGATGTGATACTGAAACAATTTTTAAACAGGCAATGTCTTCATTATGAAAAAGCATGCGGTGCTGTGTGTTCATAGTTTCCAACAGGCTTTTTCCTATTCTGTTAGCCATTACCCACCAGCTGGGAGGCCCTGTGCGGTCTGGTGGTTTGTCATCTGAGTCTAAAAATGGCTGCAAAAGCAAAACCGAGGGCCTCCATTGGGGCTGGCCCGCCACGTGACTAATGAGAAATGATGACTCATAGGGTTAATCTATATTTTTGTTGATCATAGGATCTTAATTTGATCACCCTGTTGCAGGATAACTTTCCTGCAACGCAGGACATTTTTTACTTGTAGTGTATTTGAGGTTTTAAAAGACTTCTGATGTTTGAAATGTCCACTTTGAAATTTCAGACTTGATTTTCCCCTTACAAAAAATTGGTCAACCCATAGAAAAATGTCCATTCATTATAATCCACATAATAATTCACATTTCCTGTTGCTGCAGGATGATTTTCCTGCTGTAGCAAACAGACTCAAATTAAGATCTTACATCTGTAGCAGAGCATTGGAGGAGAAGACTCATAAATTCCCTGCTAAAAGGGGACAGGTAGCCTAGCGGTTAAGAGTGTTGGGCCGGTAACCGAAAGGTCACTGGTTCAAACCCCGAGCTGACTAGGTGAAAAATCTGTCAATGTGCCCTTGAGCAAGGCACTTAACCCTAATTGCTCCTGTATGTCGCTCTGGATAAGAGTGTCTGCTAAATGACTTAAATGTAAAATGTCTGGTTACCAACTACAGTATGTCTGGGTCATGGGTTAGGGGACAGGGGACAGGGCAGAGTGTATTAGAAAGCTGCCACATCTGCTACCTTAATGGTTAAGAAGTCTGTAAACTTGTCTGGTTCACACATACAGAGGAATTACAGTACTTGGTCGATAGAAGTAGTGTTTCGACAAAACAACATTTTCCACTTTTTCTTTCCTGTATAAAATCCCAAATACTGTTGACATAGACACACATGACATACTTCAGAGAGAGAGTTTACAGTGAGGTTATACAGGGTGTGAAGCAGCATTGTACAGAGCGTCTGTTTCTAAACTCTCCCTAGCTGCTTCACCACATCATTCCTCAGTGATGACTGTTTACTGCAGGTCTGTCTAATTAAGCACAGCTCACTTCACACTACGTCTGAACCACTATACCCCTTGCTTCTCCTTAATCCAGCTCTAATTTTGGATTATCACCAATGACCTGCTGAAACACAGTGTGATACCTAACTGTCAAACAGACCTCATTTGAAGCATACTAAGCATCTGGAGAAGAATACGACTAGCCTAATTTATAAGTGATTGTGTCAGATTGTGATTGAAATGTGCAAGTTTTGACAATAGATAAACATTTTCTTAAATATTTGTCACTAGTCTTACATTATGCTTCAAATTGTTTATTACTATGCTATACCTTTGAAAGTGAAACACTGATAGAGGAGGGCAGAATGTATGGATAGATTTGTGCAGAATATGCCATGTTTTTGCAAATCGTCGTTTTTATCTAAATAAAACCAATCCCTTGAGCCTTTCCAGATGATGAGTCAACAACATTTTTGTGAGGAATGGAGAAAAACAGTCACTTCCCAGAAGAAGAGATCCACCAGGGACAATGACAGATGCTAGGAGAAAAGAGAGAGGAGGAGGAGCTGACTTCGAGCTAAAGCACTACCTATGTAGCTGACGGTGACAGTCTTTTTCAAATATCACTTTTTTTTTAATGCAAAAAGGTAAAGAAATTGTGGAATTTGATACATTCATGATAAATGCAGATATTTGGTTAGAGAGCAGCATACCATTGCTAAATGGTATTTACCAACAAATGCCTGAACTAGTGGGTAGATGTGGAATTGCTGAGTAAGTGAATACTGTGCACTGTGAATTCGGCGCCATCCTCCCACGCATCTCCCTGCCTCTAGTTCTTCTGACCTCCCACTCCCAGTTTTGCCAGTCATGGGTTAGTCCTGCAGTTCTGACCATTGGCAGGGTTTCCCCTATATTCATTTAGCAGCGGCTGCTAAATTGTTGCCACCGCTACAAAAAAAGATGATGTAAGTGTTGCCACCGCTACCCTTGCCAACACTGGTATTGAAAGGACAGAGAACAAAGTGTGCAGTAGGAGCTTACTTTGAAGAGCATAGTAAAGGTTTCTGACTGAGAAAACAGGAAATGTTTACTCAGCAGATGCCTCCATCTGGGGAAGGGTCTACTGCTGTTGGAGCTCAGCTGAAAGAAGTTCCATGGAAGAGCATCTGGCTTGTACAAGTTATGGTTGTCTAGGGCCAGTCAGATTCCAAAAGGGGAAATCTCAATTTCACAAGTCCAATAAGAGAGTAAATCATACACTACCTTACTCTTTGTGTACTGATAAAAGTGAAAATACTACAGTACATTTTGCATTAATACTAACAGGTTTATACTGTATCATATTTCTTTCAACTTAACATTGGCCTCTGGCTGGGATGAACTCACAGTGAAACTGTTGTTGTGTAGAAATCTCAAGTTAATCAGTGAAGCTGGATAAAGGACCTGATCATGCACAAACACCCTCCCCAGGCTGAGAACATGCCGAGACAACCCACCCAAGCCTCAGACTTCACCTTTCCAGATTTCTGTCATATCCTAATGTTAACTCATTCCTCACAACACACTGCTAGAACATACAGTTGAAGTCGGAAGTTTACATACACCTTACCAAATACATTTAAACTCAGTTTTTCAAAATTCCTGACATTTAATCCTAGTAAAAATTCCCTGTCTTAAGTCAGTTAGGATCACCACTTTATTTTAAGAATGTGAAATGGCAGAATAATAGTAGAGAGAATGATTTATTTCAGCTTATATTTATTTCATCACATTCCCAGTGGGTCAGAAGTTTACATACACTCAATTAGTATTTGGTAGCATTGCCTTTAAATTGTTTAACTTGGGTCAAACGTTTCGGGTAGCCTTCCACAAGCTTCCCACAATAAGTTGGGTGAATTTTGGTACATTCCTCCTGACAGAGCTGGTGTAACTGAGTCAGGTTTGTAGGCCTCCTTGCTCGCACACGCTTTTTCAGTTCTGCCCACACATTTTCTATAGGATTGAGGTCAGGGCTTTGTGATGGCCACTCCAAAACCTTGACTTTGTTGTCCTTAAGCCATTTTGCCACAACTTTGGAAGTATGCTTGGGGTCATTGTCCATTTGGAAGACCCATTTGCGACCAAGCTTTAACTTCATGACTGATGTCTTGAGATGTTGCTTCAATATATCCACATAATTTTCCTTCCTCATGATGCCATCTATTTTGTGAAGTGCACCAGTCCCTCCTACAGGAAAGCACCCCCACAGCATGATGCTGCTACCCCCATGCTTCACGGTTGGGATGGTGTTCTTCGGCTTGCAAGTGCCCCCTTTTTCCTCCAAACATAACAATGGTCATTATGGCCAAACAGTTCTATTTTTGTTTCATCAGACCAGAGGACATTTCTCCAAAAAGGTACAAGCTTTGTCCCCATGTGCAGTTGCAAACCGTAGTCTGGCTTTTTTATGGCGGTTTTGGAGCAGTGGCTTCTTCCTTGCTGAGCGGCCTTTCAGGTTATGTCGATATAGGACTCGTTTTACTGTGGATATAGATAATTTTGTACCTGTTTCCTCCAGCATCTTCACAAGGTCCTTTGCTGTTGTTTTGGGATTGATTTGCACTTTTCGCACCAAAGTATGTTAATCTCTAGGCGACAGAACACGTCTCCTTCCTGAGCGGTATGATGGCTGCATGGTCCAATGGTGTTTATACTTACGTACTATTGTTTGTACAGATGAACGTGGTACCTTCAGGTGTTTGGAAATTGCTCCCAAGGATGAACCAGACCTGTGGAGGTCTACAATTATTTTTCTGAGGTCTTGGCTGATTTCTTCTGATTTTCCCATGATGTCAAACAAAGAGGCACTGAGTTTGAAGGTAGGCCTTGAAATACATCCATAGGTACACCTCCAGTTGACTCAAATGATGTCAATTAGCCTATCAGAAGCTTCTAAAGCCATGACATCATTTTCTGGAATTTTCCAAGCTGTTTAAAGGCACAGTCAACTTAGTGTATGTAAACTTTTGACCCACTGGAATTGTGATACAGTGAATTATAAGTGAAATAATCTGTCTGTAAACAATTGTTGGAAAAATTACTTGTGTCACGCACAAAGTAGATGTCCTAACCGACTTGCCAAAACTATAGTTTGTTAACAAGACATTTGTGGAGTGGTTGAAAAACAAGTTTTAATGACTCCAACCTAAGTGTATGTAAACTTCCGACTTCAACTGTACATATTTAAAAAATTATCTAAAATGTGACCAAAGGACAATATTCAGAGAGTATTTCAAAACCCACACAAAGCAGGCTATTTGATTGTCAATGATTCTTACTTATGTAACAATGTAAAAATGCACAAAAAAACTATTTAGAAACTATTTCAAAATGTAGGTAACCTCTCTCAATAAGATTTAGTAAAGACTAGGCCTGACACAAAATGTTTTAATAGTAGCCTACTTTGACAAAAATTCAGTGAATACAATGAGTACTAGACAGAGACAGATAAGAGAAGATACAAAACACAATAACAGGTCAGCGACAATAAAATATTTGTAGGACAAATTCATATTTCACACTGTCACTTTATTGTTTGCATTTAGCCTACAACATGTCATGGAACTTCTGGAAGCACGGCCCCATCCCGCAAAGTGGCACAGAACACGTAGAGCACCCAAAGGAGGTTTCTACACATCTCCCACTCTTTGCCCTGCGTCCACTCCGGATGCACAACACACACTTCTCTTGCGCCCTTTAAACTTCACCTGCTTTCAAATGAGTTCCAACTCGGTCCACACGCCCTGGTGCCACACTCTTGGCTCCCCTCTTTCTGCCACTCTAGCCATGTCACAAAGTGAATGCACAAGCTGCATTTTTATGCCTTCAGGGACCAGCGCCTGCGGTTTCTGGGAAGGGGCCTTTGCCGGGTCCCCCACACAATGTACGCATTAATGATGGCAATATTGAGCATCCCCCAAAACACATACTTCCACCATTTTCTGCCTGTACATCCTTGCAAATAGCTCCTCAGTTGGTCAACCCTGCCCATTTTCTTGTTGTAATCCATTACAAGCTCTGGAACAGATATAAATTACTACCACATCTAAAAACAACTCCAAAACCGCTACCACTGTCACTTTAGGCCCAGGCTGTGTGGTCCAGAATGAACTAAATAACATCCTGAACTAAATAACATCCTGAACGTGCCTCCAATCAAAACAGGAGACCATTCTGCCTTCCAAGAGTTCTCCCTTGCTGTCCAATCCTTGACCTCAATACTCCAATCTGTTGAAGGAGAAGACAGGAACGAGCTGAAATGTGGCTCCCACGTGGACAGACTCCTTGGCAAGCTTCCAGCCTACCTCAGAGACAGTTTCATCGAACATTGTTTGAAGAAAGGCATCCTGAAAGAGGGCTCGAAATGCACCTATGCCCTCAAAGAGCTGGCAGCATGGTTGCAGGTGAAGGCGAGGGTAAAGAGCATCACTCACCAGGCCTCAATCTCAGCCGCTGCCTCTGGGGTAAGGAAGGAGTTTGAACGGCCAAATCCCACTACCATGTACTTAAGTAGGGAAGCCGGGAAGGAACCCGGAAGGGAGGAACCCAGGAAGGAGGAACCCGGGAAGAAGGCCTTTCTCAAGAGCAAGGACATCAAATTCCAGCCCTACTGCCCCTATTGCAATAGTAAGGGGTACTTCCTGGGTTTATTCCCCAAGGTACAAAAGCTCACTCGACCCCAATTGAAGGCCTGGATAACTTCAGGTGAGCGACGCTACAAGTGTGCCCGTAGCCATAAAGCGGAGACCTGAACATTGAGGAAACCCTGAAACAGCTGTAAGGAAATCCATCTCACAGTGTTGCATGATGTAATCCCCAAGCACCGAAGGAGCAGTGTATGCTCAGGGTAGGAGCCGCAAAGGAGCTCTACTCGACCAGCCTAACTGGTCTCCAAGGGTCATGTTGAAGGTGGTAAAGGACACCCTGCAAAGCGAAGGGAGGAGCATGGATACATTTGCCGTTCTAGATGATGGGCAGCTTAACCTAAAGGGGACCCCCAAGACGCTTAACCTCAGAACGGTGCGACATGATGTTATCCAAGTGAAGGGCTCTGCCGTGACTTTCTGCATTTCACCTTCAGGACAGAGGGACGTGGCCTACAACATCACAATGCCTTCACGACAGATGGCCTGTATCTCGCACAGCTCTCCTGCCCGGTGAGTGTTCTACAAGAGCAATATCCTCATCTCAGAGGACTGCCTCATCCCAACATGGCCAGGGCTGCGCCACTCATCCTGATTGGGTCAGACTACCCACACCACGTCACTCCAACCGAGCCTATACGAGCTGGACCAGAAGGAGGGCCTGTCGCTGTCCATACATCCTTGGGTTGGGCTGTGCAGGGTCCAGCCCATCTACTTCTCTCCACCCAAGCTGTACAGTCACATCAAGTCCTCTTCACCAGAAGCAGTCCAGCTCCATCTCCCTGTCCGGCCACTGAGCTCCTTCGGAATGTGGAGATGCTCTGGAAGATGGACACCTTCCCCAACCGGAAGCTAAAGGAGGTTACCCGCTCAAAACATGACTCCTATGCATTAGAAGTCCTGGAGAAGCACACCACCACCACTGAAATGGATGGAGTTCAGAGGTATGCAACCCCACTACTACGGGTGCCCAACCATCCTCCTCTGTCAACCACAACATGGGCTGTACTCCCCCTACTCCGTGGGAAGGAGTGAAGGACCCTGAGCTTTCTGAAGTTCATAACTGGGAGATTCATAACCTTGTGAAGGCAGGATGTCACCAAAGTGACAGCTCATGAAGAGGGGAACCCACTCAGCGAATCCTGGTATCTCCCTCACCATGTTATAAAGCAACACAGTGGGAAGTACCGACTTGTCTTCAACTGTTCATTC